CCATATCGACCGCTGCCGAGCTTACCAGGAGTCGGACGAATACAAGCAGAGAAGCCAAAGCGCCGTCTCAAGACCCGCCGTCGCCGACCGCTCGGAAACCTCGGCCGCCGGACAGCACAACTCGGTGAAAAATCTCCGAGAGAAGTTCCAGAAGCTCAACTCCTGAAGCCACTCCGGCGGGAAATGAGAATTCAGATGCAAATCTTTTGGCTGACGAGTACACAACGAACCCCGACCGGCAACGCGACGACGCTCAACTAGGAGGCGTGGCTCACGCACCAGTAGTCTCCATCTAAACGACCACCAATTGCGAGAGCGTGCTCGTGCATGAACAATTCGGCGCACGCGTGACATCCATCCGTCAATCTGTTGGATAAATGCTTCCGTGGCTTGAATGGAATGCCCCGACGTCACGGTGATGTCACGTGGCCCAACAACAGGCCATTTGAACGTCGGCCAACGGTGCCCCGTCACCAAGGCGACAGCAAACAACCACTTGAACGCCATCTACGCAACTCAACTGTATTTCTCGAGCACTTTCAAACAGCCATCGCTGCACACAAAGTGCTGCACATAGCGCCAGGACTTTTATTTTCTCGTGCAAAGGAGTATTTTTGTACTGATAAGATTCGCCCCACATTCTGTGAAATATCCAAAGGTCATAACCACGTGAGGTCAACACCATGTTGTTATTTATGTTAACGGTACAGCACGAAATATTTATTTGACGAATAAAACTCCGTACCGCGTCCAAAAGTGTGTGAAAGGTCGCTAGAATGACGCCACCGCACCTCGTCCTCCGCTCGTTTGTCAAAATAAAGGTCACGTGAGCGTTTGGCGAGCGCGTCGGTGAACAAGCGCGCGTCCTGCGGCAGGTTGAAGATGCGCCGGAAAACAAAGAGCCTTCAAAATAAAAGCTTCTCCGTCGCTCAAATCCGTCACACGGGAAAGCAGGAAGTGCCCGTTGATTTCACAGCTGGTTTCTTTGCGGTTAGCGTGCACCGACGTCGTTTTGGACACGCGGCGTCCGTCAACTCGAGGCGATTTGGCTTTCCGCGCACGATTGTGAAGGCCGCCGGGTGTGCGTTTCCTGCGTGCGGCTTCCACGCTGCGACTTGACGCGGCGGCACGGGCGGCGTCTGCTCCGGTTCTGGTTCCGCTGCCGGTCCCGGTCTTACGCGGATGCCTCGGGGGCCGTCGTCATTCTCGTCATCGGCACCGGCGACTTCCCGCCCGACGCCTTCGCGCCGCCGTCCCGCTCGAGGAGACGAAGGTCCTCGCTCAGCATCCCGTCGATCCGAGGTGAGAGAGAGCGGCCGGGCCGGGCTGCGGCGTGGAGGAGGCAGGAAGGCGCGGGGGAGGGGGATCGGGAGGGGGACGCGGCGGCCCGGCCCCGCGCGGCCTGCCTGCCTGCCTGCCAGGCTCGCAGCAGCGATTCGTCACTTCGGCGTGGCGGACGCTGTCAGTTTGGCGTCGTCTCGGGAAGCACACGTGCGGTGGGGGTGCGGCTGATGCTGATGCTGATGCTATCCCTCCCAGAATGCGATGCGCCTGACAAGATGAGCGTGACGTCGTGGTTCTTAGTGAGCGGCTCCGGGGCGCGCCACCGCCTTCCCAAGGAGATGATCTTTGTGGGGCGGGAGGACTGCGAGCTCATGCTGCAGGTGAGTCGGCCTGTCCCGCCGCTGCCGCCGCCGCCGCCGCCCTGCCTTTCTCCCCGACCGCGGTGACGCTTTTCCCGCCGCGCAGTCTCGCAGCGTGGACAAGCAGCACGCCGTGATCAACTACAACGCCGCCACGGACCAGCACCTGGTCAAGGACCTGGGCAGCTTGAACGGGGTGAGACGGCGCTTTGGTCTCGCCTCGCGGGCGCCCCATCTCACAGCTGACTTCCGCTTCGATTGTTTTTCCGCAGACGTTTGTCAACGACCTGAGGATCCCCGACCAGACCTACATGACGCTGAAAGTGTCCGACATCCTCCGCTTCGGATACGATATCCTCGACCGCGGCCGCGTGCGTGCGCTCGCCGGCCCTTCCCTTCGTTGTTTTGTTGTCGCGCGCGTTTACGTTGCCGCCGCCCAAAAAGTACACAGACATAGATTCGGAATGGCTTACCGCTTTGGTCCACGGCATGTCGAAAAAGAGGCCCAAAAGTCGATCCGTGGTTGCGGACCTTTGCAAATGTCTTATTTTCAAACAAAACACAAAGAGAATCCGCCGGACGGACGGCATTTGCCGTCGAGCGGCCGAAACGCCGAGGAGTCGGGCAATTCTGTCTCTGACCATCGAATCGATGATCATCACATTCCTCCGGGGACTCGGCGGTCGGCTCCGGCGCGGCCGTGACCCTCGTGAGGACAGGCGCGTTCCAAAATGGACGGATGGCTTCACCGTTGCCCCTCTCATCGATACGTTGCCGCTGATCGGGGCACATTTCGACTCGAAGAGTTGACTTTTGTTCCCCTCTCAACCCGCGGGTGCAAATGCCAGGCAGTCCAAGACGTGCGTGTAAATCCAGCGAGTTCCACTCACGGAAGACCGCATCCTTTTCGCTTGAGTAGCGGCACGCGTTTCAAATGCGCACTCGCAAAGCCGGTCCGGCGCTCGCCGTTTACGACTCCGTATCCGGCCGGCACCTTCGCACCCGCACGTTGGTCACTGGCTCCTTCCTTAACCCGCCGGCACATTCCCACGTCTACGTTCTGGAGAAGAGTCAACACCAAGTCCCCGAAGAGGCTCTGAAGGTCAGTGCGCCGTCGCCTCGCTTTGTCATGAAAGTGCGTTCGGGACTTGAAAGACGCGGCGCAGCGAGTGTGTCGCGAGCGCGTCCGGCTCGCGGGCCCCGAGACGGCCTCGCCCGGGAAGCGGAGGTCCTTTCGGGGAAAACGCCGCCGCCGGCCAAAGAGGCTCCTTGAAGGTCGGCGCTGAGTTTGAGCGCCCTCTGTCGTCGCAGCACGAGAAGTACACCAGCCAACTGCAGATTAGCCTGAAGGCGTCACGGGGCGAGAAGGCGGAGCTCGAGAAGAACGCCGCCAGCAAGGGCTTGACGCAAGGTACGTCGCCGAAGCGGTCGACGCCGTCGGGCGGTGCGGGGTGACGGGAGCTACGTACCCGCTCGAGGGAGGCTACGGGAGCCCAACGTGGAGGACGGGCGGGCGGCGCGCCGTCGCGTTCGCTCACGTCGGTGTTCGCTCACGTCGGTGTTCGCGGTCGCCCCCAGAGCTTCCGGCCCCGCGGCCCACGCCGCTGTACGGGCAGCCTTCCTGGTGGGGAGAGGAAGATTGCGGGAGTCGGGCGGACGCTGGGGACCGACCTCAGAAAGAAGAGCCTGACAAAGACGGCCCTCGTCCAGGTACGATCTCCGCCAAGCGCCGCGTCCAACTGGCGGCCGGGTGACTTGGACGACGGCGGTCGTCGAAAGTCTGACGTCTGCTCGGTGCTTTGGCTCAGAGGCGGCGAGGGAAGTTGGGGATTTGCCCGAATGCCTTTCCGGGAAGAGCGTATCGCCGTCGTACCGGCGCGAGGCCAGCTACTTCGAGATTCCCACCAAGGACTCGCGACTCCCCAAAGCCGTGGAGGCGGAGCTCCAACAGATCCCCACCAAGGACACGAGCAGCCTTGGCCCCGACGAGACTCCGCTCGCGATCCAGAGCCACGCCTCCTTCACCATCGAGTTTGATGACCTCACGCCGGGAAAGATGAAAATCAAAGACCACGTGACCAAGTTCTCCTCCCGCCACAGGAAGACTCCGCCCCCGGCCAAGATCGCCCCCGCGGACGCGATCTCATCCCAGAGCAAAGTGGCCGATTGGCTGGTTCGCAGCGACGCCGGCGCCATGAGGACGCGACCCGCCTGCGACGACGTTTACAGCACCAAGAGCGACCTCGCCGTCAACATCAAATCGCTGAAAGGTGACGAGGACGCGCACCATCGCCGTTCGGCCCGCCGAATGCTGGAAGACGCACGCGAACACGACATGACGCACACGCGCTCGCTCGCTTCCTGTTTGCAGGTCATCACCATGACGACGGAACGCAGAGCGACTCCGAGGACCCGGCGCTCAAAGGACGGGCGAGCGCATCCCGGCGTTCCCCGACCCGGGTTCGGCCCGAGCCCGTGTCCCCGGAGCCCCCCGGGACCCGGTCCTCCGTCGCCGACCCGTGCGAGCGGGGTCCCCCCGAGCGCCTGAGCCAGCAGGCCTTCGTCATCGAGTTCTTCGATGACAACCCGCGCAAGAAGCGCTCGCAGTCCTTCACTCACAACCCCGCCCACCCCGACCCGTACTCCGGACTCAAGGCCAAGCTGGAGCGCCGCAAAGGCGGCGAGCGTCCGGCGTCCGTTCACGGCCACGTGGGCCCCGCCCAGCAGGCGACGGCGCCGCTCAAAGGTCCCGGTGGCCGCGGGGCCCCCCAGCGGTCCAGTTCTCTGAAGCGGGAGCAGGCGGACGCCGAGACCTCTCGCTCGTCCTCGGCGATCTTTGTTCGTCCTTTCGGCAGCGTGGGCAAGAAGTCCAAACTGGCTCAAGACTTTGCTCGGGAGTTTGCCGCGGAATCGCCGAAGGATTCTCGTCCGGACTCCTCGTCCGGCGGGGAGCAAATGACGCCGCCGCCCATGTCGGCGCCGCCGGTGATGGTGTCGGCCCCTTCGCCGGCGGAACCTTCGGCCCCGCCCGCGACGGCTCCGCCCCCTGCCGTCGGAGCCGCTCCGCCTCCGCCGCCCCTGAGTTTTCCCGGAGCAGACAGCAGAGGGTGCCAGAGGCCGCCTCGGAACGAGGAGGACGACAGCGTGAGCGAGGCCGGCACCTACACCATCGACACCGACGCCCACAACCAGGAAGTGGAAGACGCTCGCAACATGATCGACCAGGTGACCTCGCCTTTTGTCCGAAGCGGCTGCGAACGTTCCTCCCAACCCGTCGACATCTTGCGCAGGTGTTTGGCGTCCTGGACTCTCCGGAGTACGCCGAGCCCGGCCCGGGAACGCCGAGGCCCGTCATCGACGAAGGCCAGGTTGAGCGCGCCGACGGCGCCGGCTGTTGCGTGATTCTGCAGGACTTTGGCCTGGCTGCCGGCGGCCCCGCAGCGAGCCCCTTCCAGGTAAAGAGCCGTACGGCAATGGCTCCGGTGCGCGTGTCGCGTGTGGATCACGATCACAGGGGGAGGGGGTTAAAAAACCGTTGTTTTCTCCCTGCAGGCTCCAGGAGGCCCAAAGTGGGTTTCTCGTTGGGCCGGTCTAGCGGACAGCTGTGCTGCGCCTCGAGAAGGTGCTTTGGTTTCTTTGGTCCTTTTTGCGTGTGCGTTCGGTTCAAAAAGCACGCCGACGGCGAGATCGCGGCCGGCCGCCCGGATGTCATTTTTTTGTGGCGAAAGATGACGTGATACCACGTGGCGTTTTGTTAGCGGCCCGCTAGGCACCCAAACTTAGTTTGGCAAACACATTGATCTTTGACCTCTTTGCGCCAGGCTCGCCGGCGCCGGCGCGGCCGAGCGAAGGCGACGGCGACGAGCCCTCGGAGTCCGAGTCCGGCCGCGGCCGCAGGACCAGGAGGCTTCTGCCTCGGGTTCCCCCTGAAAAGGGGGACGGCGGCCTCCCGGGACGCCGCGACTCTTCCCAAGAGCGGGAGCGTGCCGACGCGGCCCCCCCGTCTCCCGGACCCCGACGGGACTCCGCCCGGTGCCTGTCCCTGCGGGACCAAGTGGATCCAGACAGTCTGAGTGACGCCAGCCGCTCCGAGGACGGAGCCGCTTCGAGGCGAGCGAAGAGCCGTCAGGCCCCTTTGAGCTCTCCGGCGCAGAAAGCCGCCGCCTCCTCGTCCTCGTCGTCGTCCTCGTCCGCAAAACGCAGCCTCTTCTACATCGGCTCGGACGAAAACGGGGCCCAGCCCGACCCGGCCGGATTCTCAGCTCACTTTCAGAGGAGTCCGGACCCCCCCGCCAAAACCCCCCCGACCACCGTCCTGATCCGCCACCTGGGCGGTCACGAACCGCGACGGGGAGGCGTGAAACCAAACAGCTCGGCGCCCGACCTGCCCACGCAGGGCGCGGATCGTGTCCCCACCAGAGACGTCCCCCCGTCCCTCGTCCGCCGCGAGAGTTTCACCAAAGCGGCGCCCGCTGAGAATGTCCCGCTCAAGAGGCTGCCCCACATTTCCAGTCAGCCGTCCATCAGAGACTCGGAGGGGAGGACGGAGCGCTTCCCGGACGCCGAGTCCTCCCCCCGGGAGGCCGGCGGCTTCCCGTCTCCCGGCTCGCACAAAGGCGGCTCGTCCGGCCGCGTCGACGATTCGCTTTCGGGAGAGTCCGACTTGGACACGGCGAGCACCGCCAGCCAGCTGAGCGGCAAAAGGACGCCCGCGGCTTCGGCCGTCGACGGCGGTCTTCTCCGCGAGGAGAAGACCCCCTCGGCCCGGCCCAAGGGCCGCCAGCCCTCGGCTCGCGAGCGACTTTCGGAGAAACGGCGCAGCCAGCCGCCCGCCGATAAGGCGGAGGCCGCCAAGCGCTTTCAGATGCGCCGCAGCGCCGGCGCCCGCGGCTCTTTGGATCTTCCCCCCGAGGGCCGGCAGACGTCCGCAACGGCCCCGTGCGACCAAGAGGCCTCCCGGGCGTCCGGCCGCGCTAAAAAGGCGGCGGCCTCGCTCCAAAAAGAGGACGGCGCCAAGGCGGCGCACGCGCAGCTTCTGACTCGCTCCAACAGCTTGTCGGCGCCGCGTCCCACTCGGGCGTCCATGTTGCGTCGGGCGCGGCTGGGAGAAGCCTCGGACAACGAGGGCGCCGAGACCGACCGGGCCTCCCAAAGCTCCGACCACGCCGCCCCGGCGCCGGAAGCCAAGAAACTGTCCAGGCTGGACATCTTGGCGCTGCCGCGGAAGAGGACGGCTTCTTTTACGGGCGACGGCGAGACCCCGCCCTCCGCCGGCCGCTCGGCTTTCTCCGCTCGCAACGTCGACTCGCTGTCGGGCGCCAGGAAGTCCTCGGTGAGCGACACCCGACAGGCCGCCCGCAGGGCGGGAGGAGGCGCGGGGAAAAAGCCGCCGAGCCGCACCCGCTCCACCGGAGCCAAGTACCCCAACGGCGGTGAGTTTCGCGTCGGTTCCCGGCCGCTTTTCGAAAGTTGACTTCCTTATTTTGGGGGGGGTGTGGCAGGTGTCCGTCCCCAGCGCAAAAACTCGGACTTCTCTTCTTCATCCGACGAAGACTACAAAACCAGCGCCGACGCGACGAAAGCCAAACGCTGCGCCCAGAGCCCCCGGGGCCGCGAGACGCCCGGCGGCCGCTCCGAGTCGCTTTCCCTGGAGACGGAGGAGGACGACGACCGGAGCGACCCGTACCAGAACTGGTCCACGCACAGCGCCGAGATCGCCAAGTCCGTCCGCCGCGCGCGCACGCTTGCTACTTTGCGGGTTTCGAGTGACAAGCGTCCGACCCGCTTTCGGTCTTGCGCAGGCTCAGTCACGACTTGGCCAAAGACTTGGCCATCCTGGCCAAGGAAATCCACGACGTCGCCGGCGACGGCGACTGCGC